ATATATATATATATATATATATATATATATAGCCCGCAAATTGTCTGTGAGCTGATTTCCAGCTACAAGGAGAAAAGGAAAAACTTATTATGCAGGAGGGAGATGCAGGCAGCTCCAGATATTTAGCATGCCAAATATTTTGCGGGCGTTGGCGACATGTCAGCGATTCTCAGATCGCGTCTTTGATAATTCACACTGCGTGATTGTCACTCGCGTGAACGAGCACCGATTTGCCTCCGATTTCGGGCATGTATATGTGTGTGTGTGTATAAAATGTTTTAACATTTTTACATAGTAAGAAAAAATTAAGTACTTTTTCTTTTAATTTGGAATGATCGCTTCATTGACTTCCATTGTAAGCATCTGACCTTAAATGCCTTTTGTGTTTTGTTTTTATAAATTAAGTCTAAGTTAATTTATTAGATAATTGGAGGATTTTAATTTTGGATTTCTTTTTCTTGCATGAGTATCCACGCGCAGGATTTTTACCGTCTGCTGTTTTGGTGAGTTCGAGTGGGCTGCAGGTGTCAGAGGTCATGGTTGCAGTGCTTGTTGTCGTAGTGATAAGTAGCGCTTGTTTTGTAACTGAGAATGTGGCGTTGTGCGGGATGAGTGAGGCAATGGAGTGTGATTGTGTGTGTGTGTGTGTGTCATATGGGCTGGGTCAGAAGCTGTCCGTCAAACACCCACACCTTCACACATTCTGCTGTGTCTGTGTGTGTGAGACGGGGGTTCCGCACCAAATGTTCCTCTGATATGTGTATCCCTTTAAGTTCTTTTCATTTCCCTCTTCCTCTTTCCTTTCCCTTTCTTTTCTTCTAATCTCTTCTCTCCCCTGCTCTACCTCTCCCTATATGTCTATTCTCCTCTCCGCCCCTTATTTATTAAACGACTAAATGAATAAGTCCACGGGTGAGTAGATGGATAGATAAAAGAAGAGAGTAATAAAGTGGACCCGACCCTCTAAACTTTTAATGAGCTGTACAGCATCTAATTATTTTTTTCAATGGCTGCAGATATTCAGGAACAGAGGTTTGATTTCACACGTGGCGTAGGTCACACTCCTTCACATGGATGGTGAGAGGAATGAATTATCCTGTCCTCTCTCATTAAACGAGAGACACACTCCCTCCCTCTCTCACACTACACGTCTTCAATCTCACACCTCCATTTATTAATTTACTGCCATTCCTTAATTCATCCATCTTTATATGTAAATTTATAAGTGTGGTAATCACACCCACATCTTAAATTCTCCATATAGTTCTTGTTTGCCCTGTAATTCATATTCATTAGCTTGATGCATATGCATGAAATGCAAATAACACAGCTAAATGCAAAGAGGTCCACCCAGGTCCGTCGTGAGCCGAAACGTCCCGTCTGTCACCGGCATAATGCCAGTTAATCAAAGTATTAACGACAGATTACACTGATCTAGTGCTGACATGAAATATTGTTGGGTGGAGAGCATGTGAACGTTGTGTGCTGATCTCATTGCAATGCAAAACGCAAAAAGAAACATATTAGCTACCTAGAGGGGTTGTATTATGGACAAATGTGTGGATATTGTTATTGTATTGTCTTTCTAGATTGTTCTAAAAGTCTTAACATTCTGTTTGATTCTAAACAACTGTTTTGCTGTAAGAAACCTTGAGTAACCTTAAAAATTTGCTTCAGAGCAAAACAATAGTGTGGACTATGACTCATTTAGGATCGGCATGAAATGTGCCTCTATTTTCTTCGTCTGTGTCAGCAGCAGTACACTGTGTTTCATCAGTTCATCAGATCACATCAGAGAGAAACAGAGTCCTGATCTCTTGTGGTCCTGCAGCTGAACCAGCAGAAAGTGTCCGTCTTGTATAGCTGCAGAATTAATGATAAACGAGTCTGGAATCACCTCAGCTCTTTATTCAGAGAGATAAACCCGGCCTGGAAAAGTAAGCAGAATTTATTCACCACCCTCTGCTGTAACTCAGAATCCCTGAATGGAAAGACCAGCATGACCCTAGTATTTCACCCTTATATGGTGTGTTTAGATCAGCTTTTTCTCAAACCTAAAGCTTAACCAGCATGAGTAGCTAGATGCAATCTGCAATCTTTTTTAATGTATATATATATATAGTAGAGACATGTCCCAACAGACTAAAGGCTGTAATTAAAGCATAAGGTGGTTCAACAAAATACTGATACAAGGGGGTGATCCTTTTTCCAACTGTGATTCTGTTTTTTTTCTTTCTGTTTTTCTCTGACAAGCTGGAGTTATATCTTTCACTTGGATGTTAGAAGTGGCCAGTGGTGGAAAGAGTACTAAAAATGTATACTTAAGTACAAGTACTGTTACATTGCTGAAATAATACTCAATTACAAGTAAAAGTACTGGTGTCAAAACAGTACTTAAGTAAAAGTACAAAGTACTCCTCTCAAAAACTACTCAGAGTACTAGTTACTTTTTAGCCGGCGATATTTAATGAATTACCAAAAAAATATTCATTCATATCAAAGATATATGTGAATAATAGCTACTTTGAACAAAACCCACTTTTATCTTATTGACAAAGTATGTGAATTAGTGGTCATGATACAGGAATTTCTAACTTCAATACCTTGAAAAATATCAATATTAAAGTACCTGTGAACCGGAAGCTGCAACTGACTTCAGTTTTGTGATGTATTTCCAAGTGAAACGGAATATTGAATAAAGGGCGGGGTTTTATTGTGGTGCACCTCCACTCCACCTCTTGCTCATAGCAGATTCACGTTTGGATAGGAGTGGATAAGAATATCTGCTTGTTACGTCTGACATCACGCTTCACTGCTTCTGGGTCCTAACACTCTGTCAGACGCCCCAAGAAAACAACAGACTTTGCTAATATACACCCACGATGTCATGTAATTACAAACACATACTACTGTATACTGCCATATAGATATTTTAATATTTAAATTTTTTTGCACATCCATTTTTTCAAGGCAATCATTATTTCAAGATTATTATTTCAAGTTTTACAATTGGTTTAATCCAAGTCTTTTAAAACGACACATTCGCATATGATGAACAGATTTTCATATATACTTTTATTTACATACATATAAAAATGTAGACACTGTGAGCACGGAGACTGTAGTGTGCACAGCAAATTTTTAATGCTTAGCTTAAATATGTAATATTAATCAAATAATGCTCATAAACGGCTGTTGAGATAGGATTCTCAAGTGAAATGAGTAGAGGCATGGACCCGGAAACAGCAGTCCTTATGTCATGACCTAACAAGAGGATTCTCCCCAAGCCGTCAAACTGACGTCATCAGAGCCAGAACGCCATTCCCGAGCGGAAGCCAATTTTCAGTTTTTGATTAAAGATTATGACGGCAGACAATTTTTTTTCCAGTGTATTGACTTGCACGGTTCAATTGTTCACCACAAGACTAGTA